AAAGATAAATTTTAATTCACTACAGTTGGCTGAATGTTGTGAAAACAACAGAAGTTGATAAACAGACTTTAAGCTACCAGAACGATTTGTACAAACAGAAGCTACTCTGTGATCCCCGAATCCTTCGAGTTTCAGCTGGGTAGAGCCCAGTAGCTATGTTTACATGCGCAAAATTCTTTGATCGGATTGAAATGTTTTCAAATTAAATAATTCAAATGCATCATTTACATGGGCACAATCTATTCATGATGAGTGTTGACATGCAGCGGGCGTTGTTCTGAACAGAAGTACTGACATGCGCAGAGTGATAAACTCTCCTTAAAAAAACACAGAAGAAGTTCGACTTCCGGTTTACTTTCGGGATGAACGTAAACAAAGCTGAGCGCCCAAAATGGACCCATGACAGGTTTTAATAACGGTGGAGACGTTACTGTATTCCCTGACTGAGCTACAGGTAGTCCAGATCATTTTGAGCTCTTTCAAAGTTTCTAGTAGAAATGTTGTGTTGCTCACCGACCAGTTTTGCTTCCCCGACATGCTAATATTATTAGCATTACCAGGCGGAAATGACATGGGTCGCACATGCGCAGTCAAGTCAGTTTTTCACGATCAGAACAAAATAAAAAGATCAAGTGTTTTCATGCGCACCGTTCAGGTTATGAATTGGTGTAAACCACCCGTTTCGTTTATTCAGCGCTGTTAAGATATTTTAAAAGCGCTGAATAAACAAAAAATAACCCGAACGGGGTGTTTACATGACGCGTTTTTATTCCGAACAGCTGTTTGATCCGATTACTTATGTCCATGTAAACATAGCTATTGTTTCAAGAAGAAACCACGTCAGGCAACTTTCTGTAATGTTACTTTTACATCTCGTAATTACCTCATCTGGACTTAACAAAAATAGACATGTCACAGACTCATTTGTCAAAACTTACATCTATTATTACAAGATAATTCTACTGTAGTGAAGTGCAGATGACACTTCAGCGATGGTAGAAGAAAACAATTGTTTTTCTTAGGGTGGAGTTTACTGAAGTTATCTTTGGCTGCTCCTCTGTTCATTAGCAATGTTTTTACTTGCAAGACTAGTCTCTGTCGGTGGACCATGACCAAAACCAAATGACCTTGGCCATCTACAATAGCTGAAAGACCAGAATTCAGTAACCGTAACCATGAATAAAAGCAGCTGTAGAGCTTAACTGTACATCAGAGGTTTGTTGAAGGTTTTTTTAACCACAGTATATCCCATTTGAATGTTTACTATAGTTTACCACCCTATATCATAGACAAGCAAGTTAAGAAAAAAACACAGCTTAAGGAGGGAGGAAGAGTTTCCAAGCCACAGCTAAATTTTGGTTGTGCAAAGTGAATGACAGGGATGGCTATGAGAATCAGTGGGAAAAGTGTTTGTACTGCTGGATTGCAAAATATGCTGAGTTTATTGTAATCTCCCCTTGTGATCTGTACCAACCAAGAAAAACTAATACTTTAAATTATTTTACAAATAATCTGGTAGGCATATCACCTCACTCTATCAATGATATACCTGGCGTCTGGAGAATGAATCATGATTACTTTGATGATCTTCATTGTACAGTTTCCATGGCTGGTCTTATGTTGAGATCTATTGGTTTTCCATGCACTGCTCCTACGAGGCTTAAGGATTCAAGGTTCTTTATTTGTCATTCACACCAAATGTGGTGCATGTGGTGGAATGAAATTGTGTACACAGGGTCCCAATTACAGCCAACAATAAAATGTAAAAGAAAAACAGTAATAAGATCTAAGATATAAACTAAGAAAAATGTTAGCTAAAAATACACTAAGCACTAATAGCATAAAAGCAATACCAAACAGCAGCACGAACATGAGTCTGTGTGAGCAGATGAGTACGAATGAACACAGCAACAAGAAACAGATCAGCAGCAACATGATGTGATTTTTCACAGTGATTATTCTGGTTAGATATTCATGAGTCTAACAGCCTCAGGGTAGAAGCTGTTCCTCAGTCTAGTGGTTCTACACTTAATGCTCCTCAACCTCCTTCCTGAGTGGAGCGAGGCAAAAAATGTGTGTGCTGGGTGAGTGGGGTCCTTCATGAAGCAGGTGGCTCTCTTCCTGCATCTGGAGGTGTAGATGTCTGTCATGGTGGGAAGGCTGACTCCAACAGTCTTCTGTGCAGCCTTCACCACTCTCTGCAAAGCTTTTCTTTCTGCAGCTGTGCAGCCTCCATGCCACACGTTGATGCTGGAGCACAGGATGCTCTCCACTGCACACCTGTAGAAGGAGGTGAGGACTGAGCTTCCCAGTCCAGCTCATCTCAGCCGCCTGAGGAAGTAGAGTCTCTGATGAGTTTCCTTGATCAGGCTGGTGGTGTTGTTGCCCCAGCTGAGGTTGTCATTCAGCTGCACCCACAAGTACTTGTAGCTGGAGATGACTTCCACCGCAGATCCTCCTATGTTCATGTGTGTGTGTGTGTGTGTGTGGGGGGGGGGGGGGGGGGGGCTTTAAATATATGTATGTATTAATGTGAGCTTCTTAAGGCTTCCACAGACTCGCGCGGACGTTAATCCCTGGAGGTTCGCGCTTACCGGATTAGATTCCAAGCAGACACCCGCAGGGCATGTCCATGCAAAGCTCAATTTTTACGTACGCGTACTCGGTGCCACACAATAAACAGCCCTGCGACAGACTGTTTTGTATGTGACTCCAATGTATTAAATTTCCCTTCTTCATCCCTGGTCTGGTTTAATGGCCTTTTCTTTTTCTTTTTTTTTCCAAGAGGCAAGCAATCTCTTCCTCCTCCTCCAATGATGCCATGACTGAAATGGTGAAAAATGAAGGAATTTGTCACAAGATAATTAAAATTAGGTCCATCGTGGCTGCAGGAGGGTCTGGAGATTTCTTCGTGGGCTGGTCTGATGTGTGGGTTGCAGGTCCAGCACTCCCTTTTTTTTTTCTTTTTGGGACCTGTCAATCAATCCAGTAGGTGTGTCAGAAAATTACCAATCAGCAACCTCAATTTGTCCCAAAGGTAAACGCCCCTTGCCTGCGGAGCTTACTGCAGCCGCTAAGGGAGGATCCTTGAGTATGAAGTCTCAACAGTCTGTGGACAGTGCACGCAGTTTCTGCGCAGACTGAGGACCGCTTAAGTCTGTGTGAGCCTTTAGTCAGTTTTCCTAAGTGCAAGCTTTATTTTTTGTTTAACTAATCATTGTAGAGTTTCTGGGTTTTTGTCCTGTCTCTGTCTGTTTCCTCATGTTTCCTGATCCAGCACTCAGTGTTTTTCCTTGTGTTCAGTCCCTGTCTCACCTGTGTCTAATGTTAATCACTGCAAGTGTCTTGTCATTGTCCTAATCAATGTGTGTGTATATATTCAGTTCACTGGTGTCTTGTCTTTGTCTCGGGATTATCCTTCCATGGTGTCGTGTTGAGCCTTTTGTCCTGTCTGCCCTGATCTGCCTGTTTCCAGTTTTGTGAGTAGCTGCCCTGTCAGCATTTTGATTTGTTTTGTTTAATAAACATTTTTACGTTTTCCTCGAGCGTCCTTGTCATCCTCCCCACACGTGGGTTCAAACATTCATGACGGCCGAACGTAACAATCATATTTATATTTTATTTGATGCCTCCTTTTGACTATGACATTTATCAAACTTTATTTTCATTTCTATTCTGAAATATACATTATGTGGGCTGTAAATATTAACATGTCAACACACTAAGGTAACACTAAATAATTTTTGTACCCAGTATTTTTTTAGTTTTGTTTTTTCCCTCTATTCTCTGGTGAAACCAGACGTATTTCCCTGTGCCCCCCCCCCCCCACCTGCTTCCCTGCTGCACTCTTTTGTCCTGTGAACCCTTAAAAAGCCCCTTTTTTTCTGCATACCTCATAATTCGAAGGATCAGCTTTTCTCTCAACAAAATTGATCAACTTCTCCCGACATGAGTCAGGGCATAAGGAGGATCCTCTTACCTCAACGGAAACAAATTGGATTCATGATGACAACTGGTTATTTTGCTGTTTGGTTGGTGAATTCTGGATTGCCTACAAATTCATGGGGATGTGTCTCGACAGTGCTCAGACTGAATTTAAAGAGCTGCAGCAGGGAGCTGGCGCAGGCTGTTATCAGGACCGTGAACTTACTGGCAGCACTCATGAATGGTGGGAATAATCTTGGAGAAGCTGTGAGCTCAACTTTTGGCGTAAAGGATCAATTCGGCTGTTTTGGAGTTTCCATCAGAGGAATATATACCAGCGAGACTTTAAACGGCAGAAACAACAATTCACGAGTTCTGCCTGACCCAAATTGTGGCCTTGACGCCGAACTTATCTCAACTCCTCCTGGAATGTTTTGAAAACAACAAAGATGCTTTGACTGTTTCCTCACCCCTCCCTTCCCCAAGGCCGTGGACATGTAACAGAACCTCAACTGAGCTGATGATGAATGTCACCTCTTATCTGGACAATGGCTGAGAGGGGGGGCTCTGGACTATGCTACGACTTTCCCTTAAAAATTCAATGTTTTCACCGGCATATATGTACATGTCTAACATCTGTTTATGTTGCTTTGCTGTGGTAGGTTTTTTTGATGCCTCAAATTGGGCCCTGTCTAGGACACGGCGTGAGAGATATTTTTTTATACCGTCTCTCCTCATGTTTCTTCCCTTTTCTCATCTAAGCAAAATATTATTCTGAATAAGAATAAGAGGGCCGCACTATTTAATAGCCGCAGCTTCGTGCACGCCGCCCATCTTTCAGACGACTGTACGTACATATTCTCGTTGTTTCTCGGTGCAATGCCGATAAAGTTTATTCTGATTCTTCTGATTTTGATTCTGAAAAATGGAGGTGGAGTCTTTATCTTAACTGATAACTTTTCTAAATTTATAAACAGTGGTATGGTATGTAATCAAATAAACAAAACAAATAGACTCAAAAGATCATAAATTTAGTTGATCATAACAGCTCTTTTTTTCCTTGTCTTGACCCAAAGCTTTCAGGAGTACAACGCTTTACAAACTCTCGTTTATCTGCTAAATGATCAGCCTGATGAAGTGCTTATCAATGTTGTGGGAGCACTGGGAGAATTTGCTCAAATTCCAGCTAACAGATTCATTATCCACAAGTGTGGGGGCATCAAACTGCTTGTTAATCTGCTCACCAAACCAAACCAGGTATTTATACTTTCTCTTCTGTATTTTGATTTTTTTTTTTTTTTTCATTTTCATTTTTATAACAGTCCTTTACTAATGATATGCACACTCTTTGATTTAACCAGACACTGCTTATGAATGTAACTAAGGCTGTGGGCATATGCGCTACAAATAAGGACAACATGGCGTAAGTTTATTTCTTCATATTTGATAATGCATATTTTCTCATTTACAGTATTTTAAGAAGGTTAGTGCTAGGTATATTTAAGATGTAATAAGTAGCTTGTTTACTCAAATACCTAATAACAATTGTAATTGTTTCATGACATGAGATTTTAAGAGGAAATTACACAAATTCCTGGATCTAAGCTTAGTATCATTAACCTGTCATGGCCCAATTATGTAAAAAAAAAAAACACCTTTCTGTTCTATTATCTTGTAAATACAGGTAGGCCACTCTTATTTTTTCCTTAATGACAAGAGTTTAAAGCTTTGTTTATTGTACCTGCTGTGTTAAATGTTTTTGCAGTTTAGTTCTCAGAGATTTACTGTAGTTGTGCTGTCATTGAGCTGGTCACAAGAACATGCCTAAAGGCCTTTCCCGTCCAAGACTTCATGGATGGGCAAACACAGTGAACCAGAATACATAGCAGTCTATTTTTTGTTGTTTGTTCTACTAACCTCTTTCTGTTTGGCTACAAATCTTTGTGGAGCTTCCATCTGTGCCTTGTTGCTTTTACAAGATTTTTTCAAGACTCTTCTTGTTTAGCACTGGACAAAATATAACTAAACATCTGCATTTACATTGTTGGCTGTTTATGATGTTGTCTGACTCTGACTCGTTAGTTTGGAGCAAAAAACAACGATTCACAAAAAATAAAGCACTTTAAGTTAAAGCTGATTGTGATTATCTTTATAGAAAGGGAGATGATTATTATGTCAGTTCATCGTGTTTGTCATGTTTTTTCACGGTGTGAAGTTTTAGATCTGACTATATGATTTGTCAGCCTTCATCTGAAAACAGAGTTTGTGTTTTCTATTCTGGAGGTGAAAGCTTTATTTAGAACATGCATGCAGATAGATGTTTGTAGAACAATTAGCACAACTCCTTTAGTATCTTTTTTTCACACTACCAAAACTGTTTTTCAGATTACAATGATAGATGATGTACAACTTGTTAACAAGTATTATGAGGTTTGGATGATGTCACACAAATAGTTGAAACTTTCCTGCGAGTTTTATACATGTCAGCATAGCACTCAGTATCTCCTGTTTATTACCACAATCATTCTCTTCTTGTCATCCAAAATGACTGAAATCCCAATGATGACATTCAGGTTTTTCAAGAGATACTTGCAGCCATTAGACAGTGTGTGGTTATTGACATAGCACTTCCTCCAATGAATCATGTGCAACTACAAGAGTGAACACAGGATTTTTATTTCCTTCAATGTCTGTGGTCTACCCCTTTAATCCATCACTGTCAACTACAACTGGTTTGCTAATCTATTTCATATCTGCTTCTTGGGATGACAGAGCAGTTTTGGCGGATGATATGAGTCTTTACTTTTGTTTTCGGTCCACATTTAAGAGGCCCTGCAGACTGGAATCTGATGTTATGATCCCTCTAGACTGATTTATATGCAAACAGAAGACTGATGGCGCTGGGGATGTCCCTGATGAGTATTCGCTTGTTGCCAGTCATGGAGATGCTGTGATTAGGGAGTGTTTAAGTAATTATGACAACATTCAGTGTAGCTTTGTTGGTGGAAGCACACATGGGGAATACGTTACATGTTATTTGTACCAGACAACGGGTGCACTGTGGTGTAATTCTTTGACTTCTCAGAGCTTGACTGCAGTATTGAAAACAGTCATGTAGATGACATGAAATACAGCTCATACTTAAGTAAACTTTACTCGGACTTTATGAAATACAGTCTGACTGTTTGACTTGGAAAGATGACCTCTTTTTGGACCCAGTTAAAAAAACAGCATGAAGTTTGTCTAAATGACTATTTATAAATCTTATGTATGCATGTATACATTAAACACAGATGTGAGTTAACCTGGCCCTAGCATGAGTAAATTTTTACATTGAGAATAATTTGAGTGAAAAGTGTGCAAGTTTTAGACTTGAGAAAAGATCTGAGAAGGACTGAAGACAAGTTCTAATGAAAACTGCTTAAACTGATCAATCCTTTTTGTTATTAATGACCATGGATCTATTGAGTCAGTGACATGGTGGCTCAGTTGGCAGAGATATTGCCTCTCAAAAAGAAGGTCGCCGGATCATATCCCGACCTTTCTGGGTGGAGTTTGCATGTTCTCTCTGTACTGCGTGGGTTTGCTCTGGGTACTCTGGTTTCCTCCTACAGACCAAAATCATGCATGTTAGGCTGATTGGTAACTCTAAATTGTTCCTAGCTGTCAATGAGAGAGTGAATGGTTGTTTGTCTCGTTTCTCTGTATTTCTCCTTGTGATGGACTGGAGACCTGTCCAAGGTCTCTTCCACCGTGTTCCTGTCTATTGCACAATGATTGCTGGATATGGGCACCAGTGACCCCCGCAACCCACAAAGGAAAAATTGGGGTAAAGAAAATGGATGGATGGATCTATTGAGTCTGCCGCTGGCCTGGCCCATGTAGTCTGAGCTCTGAAATACACTGATCACAAAATTAAAATACATTTAAGCCCCTTTTCCATGAGTACCTTTAGTACCGGTACAGCATGGTTTGACTCGGCTCGGTATGGTACACATTGTGTTTCCATTATACTTTCAGTACTGGTTTTAGTGGGCAGGTTCAAATTGACGTCACGTGCCTTACCAGCTGGTGGTGGTAATGCTTGTGGGAAACAGTTTCAGTACAGGGTGAGAATTTATTTTGACATTTCTGGTAAATTAAAAAGAATACAGATTATTAAAATGATCAAATTAAACAATAAATCCTGCTAATTATCTTTTAATGAACTTTAGTTCACCATTAAATCTCTGATGAAGCAGATTCTACAAAAACATCTATATGTAAAATTTTATAGGTTTTCTTCGTCATTTGATGTATTTGCACTCATTGTATCTACTTTTGTTGTTCAATTATATGTGTGCTTTTGTTTTTGGTCCTTCTATTCTTGCTATTGTGAATAGCAGTTTATCCACTGGCATGGTGCCAAAAACCTTTAAACATGCTGCTTTTCAACCTCTCCTGAAAAAACGTTGGTTACGTATTGTAATCCCAGATTCTATGAGTATAGGCATAGCCCTTTAAGAGCTGTCGCTGGTGGGTTTTATCCCGTCATGTGAAGCATCGCATTGAAAAAAATTAGTCCATGCCCACCTGTTGTGTGGGCCCCACCTGGTCCGTATAAATTATGTTAAGAGTGGGTAATCGGCTCACAAATAGCTTTTCTTCAGCCAATTAGGAGCCAGTGAGGCCCGACGCTTAAAGGGCTACGCCTATACTCATAGAATCTGGGGTTACAATACGTAACCAACGTTCTATTTCATATAGGCTTCGCCCTTTAAGAGCTGTCGCTGGTGGGTTATGACATGAACCAGATTTAGGGATTCGAATTAGATCACAGACAACAGGAAGGTTTAATAGATTTATTGATAAACAGCTTCTGGTGGAGGTCTGAGTCCTTGGGCCAGCACGATCTGAAGAGACAGGAAGGTTAGTGAATTGGAGTTCAACGGCTTTGGTTTGATTGTTCAGTTTATAACCACCAACCTTCGTAAGCAGGTGAGGGAGGATTTCCTTAGAGTTGGATTGTGTGATGTCACTGTTGGAGAAGGTGAGCTGGTTTTGAGGCAGAGCTGAGCTTGAAGAAGTTAGGAGGACGATCCAAAAGACAGGTCCAGGGAGACAGGCGAGGGTCATGCACAGATTATCAGAAATCCGAAACCAGACTTGAATCGTGATCCGGTAGACGTGGTCGTTGTAGAAAAGGCAGAGGCCGTTACCATAAGCAGAGTTGATAATCCAAAACAAGCAGGGGATGGTCAAGATGGGTAATCTGTAAAACAGGCATGAAGTCAGAACCAGGAAGACAAACAAAACTGTGGCATGGATGCTGGACATTTACTCACTGTGAGGCTTTCAATAATCTAGCACTGAGTAGAGTGACTGTGGGGTTTAAGTAAAGGGAAAAACAGGTGAGCTGCATGAGGGCTGATTGCAGTGACTCAGCAGAGTGGGTGTGGTTAAGTGAGGTGCAGGTTGACAGGAGATGAGATGAAACATGAACTATGGCAGGCAAAGCAAAAAACGTGACAGGTTAAGGGTGAAGCAGATGTAGTCTCCACCTCACTGGGTCCATTTGAACACCTCTGGAGGCGTCGCATGTGGAGTAAGCCCAGCGGAACCACTGTGTGAGCTGACAACATAATTCCTAACAGCTTCATTATGGAAATTGCTGTTACCACCCTGCCAGGCCTTACGTGGCGGAGCTGGTCTTTTAGAGTTTCGATTCTCGTCTGTGATAAATGAGCCCTCATTGTGATCGAGTTTAGCTCCACTCCCAGATAAACGATCGTCTGGGCCGGGAGAAAAGAGCTTTTCTCCCAATTTATGGCGAAGCGCAGATTTAACAGGTGTGGCGTCAGCACCTGGGTCTGCGCTGCTGCTTCCTGTCTGGAACGAGTCAGCAGCAACAAATTGTCTAGGTAAAACAAAATTCTCATCCCTGCTCTTTGTAACGGTTGCAAAGCCGTCTCCACACACTTTGAGAACGTACAAGGCATGAGGGAATAACCGAACGGTAGCCTGTTGTACTGATACTGAATCCCTTGAAAGGAGAAGCACAAGAAATGTCTGTGCTTTGGTATGATTGGGATGTGGAAGTAGGCGTTTTTCAGATCGATGGAGATAATTCAATCGTTTCACTGAATGTTGTCTAACAGCTGTCTGGTTGTCAACATGTGAAACTGTGTTGAAATTTGACAAATCTAAAAATGGGTCTCATCCCTCCGGTCCGTTTTGGGACCAGGAAGTAACGTGAGTAAAAACCCCGTGTTTTCCTCCGTCAGGAACCCTGGAAATTACATCTTTTACCAGAAATTTCCTGAACTTCTGTGTGTAGAGATGAGATCTGGACTGGGGATGACAGAACTGTCTCTAAACCGCCTCCAAACGGGGGTTTGAGCTGTAATTGCAACGTGAATCCCCCGCTGATAAAAGCAGTTCATC